TGCAGCGGCCATTGTGGCAATTGGCGTGCACATCACAATCCATACATTTGTCTCCTTTAAGATTAACCACAAATACAATTAGATTTTATGTCGCGATGCGTTAATTTACATCAACACAATAAAATCATCATTACCATATGATAGTCGTGTCGACGATCATCGTCATCCGTCGTGTCATTGTGATAGCAGATAGTAGTAACTTTACCACCACCACCACCACCACCACCATCATTATCGTCGTCGTCGTCTTTGTCGTCGTCACCGTCATCGTCATCATCATAACATCTTCATGACATCATCATCATCATCATCATCATCATCATCATCATCATCATCACCAACCTCGCTATTTTTGATTTACCGCATAAAAGTGGTCATGTATTTAAGTATTTTTACTATCCATCTGATAATTATCGTCATCATCAGTACTAGCGGTGTCAAATTAGACCAAATTATGGTCATAAATGTTGACCCCAAAATGCGACAGTCTTGGGTTTAAAGTGTCCTATTTCCTAACGTAACAGCAAGACAAACAATAACTACTGATTAAATAATTTATATAAAATAAAATGTTTGGTTATGTCCCGCTGGTAGCTTAGGCCGAAATAAGCAAGCAAAAGAAGAAACTGTTCATTTCCAAACAAAGTAAAGATAAAATACAAGCCTTTAGAAGCAATCTTATTATTACTTTCATATAAGACAATAATTTACTTACGTTCACAGTGTTTACCATGGAACTGCACCAGGCAGCTACATTCATATGCGTCAGCTCGTACTTTTCTACAGGTACCCCCGTTCTGACAAGGGTTAGGGTGACAAACGTGGCGGTTTTCTAAGAATAAAACAAATCTTGATTAAGGGTGAGTTCGATTGCAAAATCATCTGGAGATATCTGTTCTTGGATTCCTTTTCTTTCCTTTTGTTTTTGGGGTTGGGGGGGGGGATGTGAAACAGGATTTAATAAACAGTTCTTAAGAACAACGGTCTTGCACGCGCACTCACAATTAGCAAAAAGAAGACCACTGTTCATGCGAATAGTTTTGCCAAGCCATTTTCGGATTTTCCAATCGAACGGTAAAAAGGAAATCTATGAAATTCGGATCTGAATTTGTTTATTGAAATCCACCATGAGGACGGATTTCTCGGAGGTGAAATCAGTTTTAGGACTCGCGTTCGATTGCAAAATCCGAAATCCCGATTTCTCAATCGTGGAACGCAACCTGAGATATGATCACCACAGTTGCAACGTGTTACAAACAACTCAGAGCCTCAACTGCATTCGAACTCATGTCCTTTGCATTAGCGATCACATATACATTTTAAGGCGGAGAATTCAAAGGTCATGAGATGTCAGTACGTACGCTTCTAGTTAGGTTACTGAACTGGTCATACAATGTTCTTAGCATATCACTATGTTTTGGTTACTAGACAGTTAAATTTCATGATAAACGGCTTTTATTATTCGTCAATGGTATGCTAGTTTGATAAAGAACATGGCACAGTTTTTCCTAAACGAAACCTTTTGGCCGGTGAGAGTGCCTCGCTGAGCCAAAAAAAAAAAAAGAAAAAAAGAACAAGAAAAGAAAAGTGTACGAATAGATTTTACTAAAACTGTTGGCTTTCAAGGGACCTAAACATACCCTGCCAACAATGAGAGACTATACTCTATATACGGCCAAAAAGTTAAACAAAAACCCGAGAGCGCATGTCTGCGTTAGTACAGCCGAGAAAAATGTAATTATAGCAAAAGGATTACATTACCTGGCGCTGTTTTCGCGCATTCCGGGGGTAAATAGCCTGATGGACACTTACAGAAACACTTTATTCCCACGATTATACACGTGCCCCCATTTTTACAATATCCTGAAGGGCAAATCTTCTCGGCTGAAAAAATTATAATGAAGTAAATAATCAGTAATAATAGTTATATTAATAATAATGATGATGGTCATAATATAAATCATTTAAAGGCAGAAACTCATTTTGAAAATGTGATAGCAAGTAAAAGTGTCCACTTTTTAACGGCTGCAGAGATTTCTGGAGCATGTTTACAGTAAACTCGCTCCAATAAAGGACACCTGTCTATGACAATTACACGTTGTGTTGCTCCCTCATTCCAGCAGGTTTACACTGCATTAACGGTAGTCTAAGAAGACGGTTATGCGAATTAATCGAGGGATGACTGCAAAATCGGTACCATTAATGTATTTAAGTTAGTGCTAAAAACAATTGTGCTGCTATAAAAGGCTTCAACTTTGTTTAAAGTTGGGTCACCAATACTTACGATCACAATTTTGACACAGATCTCCAGTACACTCCTCTGGACACTGGCAGGTAAACGAAAGCCCATCTTGACTGTTAAAGCACTTGCCGCCATTTTTACAAGGGTTACTTTCGCAAGGGTTTCTTTTTGCTA